AGAAATTTGAGCTGCAATTATTGACCAAATTTTACAAAATTACCTATGTACGCTTTTGACATTTAATTCATTCTATTTGAATGAAGGGCATTTGTGGTAATTTAGCAAATATTGATTCAAAAAATGCGGCTGGAAGAGGAGACCCACATTTCCAAACCATCCAAAATTTCATTAAAAATCTCATGAGAATCGCCTCCACACAGGGGCTATATGTTTATATTTAATCGAATGACAAATGGTGAAAACGTAATAAACTTTTGTAATTAAATGAGTTTTAAATGGCCAACTTGAAATTTTGTAAAAACCTCAAACTAGGGCTCTCAATTCGGCTCGAGCGGCTCGTGGCTCGGCCCGTAAAAAGTCCAATCCAGCTAGACTTGCAGTTTGGGCTGAGCCTCATTTTTGGTGAAGGCTCAAGCTGATCTGGCCCGTTGAGTCATAGAAAAGGATTTACATAGCATACCCATTTTTGTCATTTTTCTTGTGAACAACAATGTGTAATGTACCATATCAGTATTCAATGCTAACCAAAACTACCAATGGAGAAAGCACTGAAAATAAAAGGCACATACCATGCTAAAAATTGAAACATAATTTAACAGAAACCCTTTATTATGCGTTCTCATTCGTTTATTGTTGCTCCACCAATCAATTGCAAATTATTATTAGGCATGTGTAAAATGCTACCTTCATAACATCTACAAAATTGGAATCCAAAATTTCGTACTTGCAACGGGTTTTAGCACATAATATATCCATAATTATATCAGGCAGCTACAGTTACTTTGTAGCTGTTTAAAAAATTCAAAATTTCAAATTAGTATAAATTGCACATAATTTACATTGTTAAAAAAAATTCAAATTTCACGACTTTAAAAAAATGAAATAAAAAAATAACCGAGCCTTCCCGAGCCAAGTTTTGATTTTTTCAGTCGAGTTTCGGCTCGGCTCGGCTCGAGCATTTTTTACCCAAGTCATGACCTTCGGCTCGATTTGTTTATATCCTTACCTCGAACCAAAATCATGGGGTAAGAAAAAGGAAAAATTCGAAATTAGTGCCCAACCCATAAGTATCGGAATTCGGTCCCCAACTTATTTTTCTTTGCAACATCATCAATAATGTATTAGTTTCGGATAACCTTTGATCCATCTGTGGTGTTTTCCGTTATTTTCAGTGTTAAAACATTAATGTTATTGCTCTTGCCTACATTTAATCTATGTCGAACACATACATATAGTCCCACCTTTAATTGAAACAGGAAAAATAACAAAAAAAAAAAAAATACAAAAGCCCACCCACCCACCCTCCCCAATCCAACCCAACCACTACTTCATGCCTCCGGCTGCCATTAGTAACCACCTTTGCCAGTTGGCGGCGAGGGCACTATCAACACTCCCAACAACAATTTGGCTATTCAACGTGCTTTTTTGGACATACCATAACCAGTTTGCCCAACAATTTGGTCTAGGTTGCATGTTGCGGCATTTCAACTTCCTGTCCTACTTTGGATTTGGTCCAATAAAAATCGTTAAGCTCAATGAATAGATTGCAAAATGATTATTGAAGAAGGAACTTATTTATGAGGTTTTCTAAGAAATTATGAGAACGATTATATTAATTTCTTCTTTCATTAAAATATTAAAATTTAAGATAGTTGTAGAAATAATTTGTACTTTTAGATTTGGGATACCACCCTTTCAAGATATTGGAAGTTAGAAATTTAGCATAAGGACGTC